GGGAGGTGTCGGCTGCGGAGAAGATTAATCGTCCAGTCTTCCATTTAAACTGGGGTTTTGTGAATGCGTGCCAGTCGAAGCCTAGCACCACATCGTGAGTCGTGGGGAATATGTAGCATTCCCAGTCGTGCGAAAGGAGTGTGTTGTTGACGGCGATGTCAACTTTGGTTTTTGTAGAGCAAGTCCGTTGTCAACCGTCGATCATCCGGAATGCTTGGGGCGTGACCTCGTACGTCGGGAGTTCATGCTTCTCAACAAATCCGGGGGATACGATGGAAGTGAAGCAACCGGTGTCGAGGAGCGTAACGGCGTCAAGGTAATCGTTGACCTGCAAGATACATTCGAACGCCAATTTGGTGGGATGACGAGGGATCACCACTTGGCCCTGCGAGTCCACGTATCCTTGTGGCGCGGAGAGCGCTGCCAGCGCGCCTTCGCTGATGTCTTCGGTCAAATCCCACAGTTCTGCCAACTCGAGAGTGGGAGCCTCTTGGTTGGCAGCTATTTTTCCGAAAACCGAGGACTACCGGAGTCCTCGTCTTCGTCGAGCTCGGTCTGAGACTCGTGGAACTCCTCGGGGCCTTTGGAGTCCAGTTCGTCTACCTCGAACTCGAGTAGGGCCATCATCTGGGCCGTCTCACGTGTCCGCTGTGGACACTCACGGGCCAGGTGGCCTCCTTTGCCACACTGCAGGCAAAGATTTTCAGTGCGCCTGCGCCTGAACTCTTCGGGACTAATGCCCAAAGCTGCAGCACTTGCAGGGCGAGCCGGGGGGTTCGGCCGACGTGCTGCTGCGGCTGCGGGAGCTCGGGTGCCATATGGCACGAGTGCTCGGGGTGCCTCGCCACTAGGGGCGGGCCGATGTTGGCCACCGGGTGGCGGCAAGGGGGATCGCACCGCTCTTTTGATTGGTGCGCAGTTCCTCTGGTGCTGGGCGTGCTCGGAGCGCGCCTGCTTGACACGGACTGCCTCCTCGAGGTACCGCCTAAGCGGGAAGTCGTGCGCGTACACCAACTCGGAGAACAGGCGGCTCAGGATGCCATCCTGGAAGTACTGCTTGAGCAGATACTCCTGGGTGACCCCGGAGAGTGCGGCATTTGTGAGGAACTGCGAGACGTAGTCCTCCATTGACACCCCTCGGCCATACTCCATGTTCCGGAGATGGTCGAGGGCCTTGGCCTGATGGCTGCGGTTCAGGTACGTGGCCCGCATTTGCCGAGCAAATGCTTCCCAGTAGTACAGGAACGACGTGTCCATCATGAGGGGAGCAACAGGACGACCGGCGCAAAGTTGCTCTTCTCTGGCATGGTGAGCCAGCGTGACGCTCGTGACCAACTCGCGCGGCGCCCCCCGCAGCTTGCTAGAGGCATGTGCGGTCCAGTAGGTGGGGTCGATCCCACCGGCCGTCATCTGCCTCTCGCAGTCGATCAGCCATGCGTCCAGCTCCTCTGCCTCGCCGGACCACGTCTGCAAGTCGATTTTGAAGTTTGCCGGCCTCGGTGGGGGGG